ATTTTCAATAATTAATCATTTACAGTGTAACAAATCACTCAAGCTCTCTGGTTTAAACTTTGACAATTAGCATTTCTTTGAAATGTAAATTTTTTTTTAATTAAATACTTTATTTATTGTATTTGGCTTTGCCTTCTATGGCCACATCATGCTTTGACAACATGTAGCTAAAGATTTCTGACAACTCCAGTTTTTTTATGGGAAAATTCTGACCCTTGTAGTCAGAGAAAATGACTTTTTCTGAGAAAACAGCCCACAAGACATCTAAAATAATAAAGAAAAAACTGCCAGTTTTGTCCTTTTTTTCACTCTTTCAATGCCAGCGAAAAAGTCAGTCGCGCTTCCGTGGATCAGATTGTGACAGGTGATGATTGACGGGCCTTTTCAGAACAGATACAGTTCAAAAATAAGAAATAATAAAAAATTATATAAGTTCATAAAGTGTCAGTGTATAAAGTCTCTTGACTTGAACAAGATCACACTAAGAATTTTAACAACACAAGACAGATGAAAACTGTTAATTATAGTTCAATGTTTAATAGGTTTAAAATCATAAATGCAGCTTTTTATGTATATTAAGCCTAAAATAAATCATTCTCAAAAGGTAAAGCCGTGTTCAGGCTGCCATTGTGATCTTGTTCTCGTTAAGTGCTTGGATTTGGATCCGCGCCTGTATTTAAATGCCCTCAGTGCCCTGCAAGTGCAGTGAAACAAGCTACATGTTATTTTAACAGCTTGCACCAACAATGTGTGCGTTAAAAAGCATAAAGGTAAATATATTTTAAAAAAGCATGGCAAGTGGTCTGCAAAGAAAAATCTGATAAATATTTGTGGCTGCAGGTCACAAAGCATGGTCAGCCATAGTCAGGGCTGCCAGTTGTCTTCTGTAAAGCAACCACTGGAGGGAACCAAAATAAACATTTTGCACCATTCAGTTTGAAGTCAAAAATATTTGAATGTATGCATTTTGAAAAATTCAAATTTAATGTTTTTTTCCTTCTAAAATGCAATTTGAAAAATGTAAACAAAAGTTTAACTGACACACATGCAAAGAAAAAATGTGTTTCAGTGTCTTCACTGACAAAGTGCACAGATTAAAGAATGATAAAAATAAATAATGATTATTCTTGATATGGGGCGACAGTCACATTCATCCTTAATGCAGCAAATGGAAAACCGAAATGATTGTTAAATAATCTTACATGGCAGCTAACCACAGTTTAATGACAGGAAACTTCATGTGCACCTGAGCAGGGCAGGTGTCAGGACACCAAGGATAAAATGCAAGTCAAAACTTTGAGAAAATGTGTTCATATGGGAACCAGACTTTGTGCTTTTTTTCAAGGCTGAGACAAAAAAAAAAAAAAGCATTATTCATGGTACAAATCATACCGTTTAGCCAAACTTTAATAATTTCCCTCTGAAGGTTAAAGCTGTCTGTCTCTCTACATGTTCCCAGACTGATGAAAATGCAGAAAAACCTGTTTGCCATCGAGTCTTTCCTTAACAGAATGATCATTTACTGATGGAGTTGAGCAGTGGCTATAGAGCTATAACACATCTTCCTTGGGAAAGACTAAAGCTTTGTCTGATGCGCCTTTTATTCCCAACAGCCTTGCTTATAAACCTCTTTCTGTCAGTTGTCTAACTTACATTATTGTTACCATCAGATATTTACATCTTAAATACAAAATTATAACAGTGGATGTTGTAATTTATACATAAAGGTTTGCAACTTGACACAATTTGAGTTTCATAGAGAAGCATCACGAGCCACCAACACTGTCCCATCACTGAAAAGCTCCTTCAGTGACTGTTTACATGGTACTGATGGAACCTAGGGTTATCTTTATTTTCATTTATTAAAGATGAGTAATATACAGTTCTAGCTTTATGGAGAGCTTTTTTATACGTTAGCAGGCTATCTCTCCAAGATAAAAAAAAAAATCATTATTCAATGTTAGTGGAGAGCCATTTTCTTTCCAGCTTTCTAGATGCCTGCTTTAAAGTAAGTAACTCAGAATTGAACCAAGGAACCAGTTTCTTCTGATTGATTTGACTTTATACGTATGTGAATGTTTCTGTGCAGTGTCCTGAGACTGCTGTTTTGATTTGGCGCTATATAAACTGAATTGAACTGAACAAAGCTCTGTATTCTTGCACAAGTAGCTAAAAGTATAATTTGTTCATATCCACTCTATCTCTATACTCTTATATATTAATTTCTATTTATTCATAACGTCAGTTTTCATTCTCGTCATATCTGTGTAGTGGACTAGGCCTACGTAAAAACTAAGTCTAAGGTCAAAACTCTTGACCTTAAGAACCTTGTGGGACAGAAGCTGTCATTTCATGTATTTGAATCCATAAATACAGGTTCACCCATCCTGAGACTTTCTTTCTTGAAGATTCAAGTGAAAAGAACACTCTCTTTTTATTATCATTACTATTTTACAAATGTTGATAATCAAAGTGTCTTAGTTCAAACCATTTTAGATGTTGCAGTGAACTAATCAATTTTATTAACTGAGTAATGATTTTTATTCTCATGCAAAGTTAGAACTCATGTTAAAAGCTGTTACAGAGTTTATGCATTTTCTGATTTCTGCCTTTGAATGAGCAAGTGTGTGCGTTTCCAAGGTTGGAGTCAAACGAAAAACAAGTTGTTATGTTAAAACTGTCATGTTTTAGAATCCTCTCAGACGTAAATATAGATGTTTTGCACCTGTTTCTGAAACACGCCAAAACAAAACTCTCTCTGTCTGTGAGAACATTTCTGATCTGTCTCATAACAATTCTCGCTGTCTCTAACCTCTTACGTCACAAAACACACCCCGTCTGGTCGTTTCTGACCAATGAACAACTCCCAAAAGTGAACCGGGAAAAAGTCTTTAAAATGTCAGTACTTCCTGGTCTAGTCTGTTCTGTGGGAGTTCTGTAAACTCATGAGTTCTATGAGTTCTGTGAGTTCTAAGAGTTCTGGAGTTCAGTAGTTGCTAGAGTTCGGTGGGAGTTTTCTGCTGGAGAGTTTTCTGCTGGTTCTGCTCGAGTTCTGTCGGAGACAGGATGATCCTGACATGACAAAAGCTCTTCCGAGTTCCATGGGATTATAACTATCACTAGCCACTACTTCTGACGAGCTACAGCCACAATCAGGAGACGCTGGACAGGTAGCGTTAACGGAACTCCATATCTGCTGATGAATCTTCAGAAAGGTAATGGATCAAGTTTCCTACCAAGCGTACCGATGGAGAGCTGAGTTCTGATGGAGAGTGTCAATTCTGGTGAACATTCTTCCCCTCCCATACCATCTTAACTCCCTCTAAACTTCTTTCATCTCTAAACTTGTCTATCAAGTAGAAATTCTTCCAGATATTTAGAAATGTCTGTGTAAAGTGCTTATTCACATCCGTGTGGGTAAAAGATCATAGTTGTACAGTTTTATAAATGTCTGTGGTGCAGCAACGGAAAAATCATGGCCGTATGATTTTTCCTGAGTGATTGCTTTGTTGTTATTTTCATAATTTGCCAAATTAATGTAAATGTTTGATGTTAAATTTGATTCTGTAAATAAATGACCGCATTCATTTTGATGGGTCAAATATAAATGACGTCTCACGTTTGCATTTCCTTAAATTCAATGCACGTTTTATTCAGTCCAGAAAAATGAGGAACCCGCGTTAAATGATGAATATATCCCAGCATCTGTTCATCTACATCTGTAGTTTTTGTATTCAGTGTATCCTGTGTGATTCTATTTGCTTGTCACTTTGCTGCTCATACACTAAACTGTCCCAAACTAAGGGACAAAAATCATTGTATTCTATAGCAACTGTGTTGTGGCTGAAAAAGATTCACTTCTTTATGGTGCAGAGTTTAAACAGGTACATTGTAAAAATTAGTATGTTAAAATACTAACACAGATTCACCATCTCTTTTTTTTATCTTTACATTTTGGCTCCGAGGCTACACAATATATTGCAAATTTATCATCGCAACAAGTGAGAGCAATGTCAGTTGCTGCAAAAGCCTGTTTGGACTGCAATAAATCAGAAGATTATGTTTCCATACGTTCATGTTCTGCACATTTTTCTTCAATCCAACAGACTCTGCTCTTGACGCCCTCATTTGTTTTAGATGTTGGCGAGAAGGTGAGGAGAGGAAAATGAGGGTTTATCACAACTGGTATCCTTTTAGCAATATTAATATTGCACATCGCAAGTTTTTCTAAATAGAACTCAAGTAATTTTATTGCCCATTAAAGTCAGAAAACATTATATATTTTTTTTGTTCTAGACACAAAGTTAAAAAATACTAATCATATTAAATAAGTGTTGCATTTGTACAGTTTTACTTTGGATATGGAAATTTAGCATGTATTTGTATTTTGCTATAAAATGCTATTGGACCACAATACATATTCCCCACTTCATAAAAGTTCAATCATTACAGAAACTATAACTGTCATGTTGTGACTTTTATGTCAATAGTGTACATGGTTGACTTTAAATGAAACAACAGAAACAATTTCAGTATTTACCAACATTTTATTTTGAAGTTTCTTCTCAAAGCCAGACAAAATAATGTCAACGTCACATAAGTGCATTAATGTTCTTCATCTGGATTTTGACAGAATGCTGCCAGTGCTCGAACCTCAACAACTAACAATAGAACTGGCAGTACCAAAACAAGTTTTTAAAATAAAACACTGGATGATGCAAATTTGACAATAGTTGCACATGATGTCATAAAGTTCTATTTGGCTTGATTTGTCTTGCTTAAAAAAAAAAAGGAAGCTTAAAATCTTAAAATACAGAAGCGCTTCCTGAAACGGACACTGAACATCCCAGTGAGCAGGTTCGTGAAGAGCACAGTAACTGCTGAGACAACAGGCTTTAAATCGTACGCGAGACAGAATCCCAGAATATATCAAGTTAAGGCCACTTTTAAAATGTGATGTTTGGCTCTGAAGAACTAAGATAACCTTTTCCAAGAGCTGAAATGTTTCATGTGAGAAGTGTCACCATGATCAAAGTAAATTATCCCCATAACCCATGTTTGATCCTGGACTCCATTCCAATTATCCCCGCAGTAAACCTGTAAATAACTTCTAAATAAGCACCTCTTGATCATTTTAAATCTCTCGATCTCAGCACTTAATCTTTTTGCCATAGCTGTCCACCACCTCAGGAGTGACGCTTTCGTCCTCCTCCACGTCCTCCGTTACCGTCTTTCCAACCAGCTGAAAGATGTCCTCGGCTGCGACGCCCATGGGCTCAGCCACCTTCACCGACAACATGTCCAGAGTTAGGACTGTTCCTTTTGGAATCTTCACCTGGGCCACCACTGACTTTCCCAACTAGAGACACAGAAAAGCAGAAGAATGAAGTTATCACATCAAAATCACTCCAGGCCTCAATAAGCAACTACAGAAATTAAATTTTCTGCTAAAATGCAGTGTTAAATGACTGCTAACATTTGTTGAAGACAAAACGTCAGGGTTAGGGTTGAACTGTTAAAAGTGAAAGAAGCAGCACAGAAGCTGAAATGAGCAAAACTGTATAAAAAAAGCTAAATTTAGTCAAGTCAACTTTATTTACAGAGCACATTTAAAACAGAACCTGTTATCAAAGTGCTTAACAACAACAACAACAACAACAACAACAACAACAACAACAACAACAACAACAACAACAATCAATGAGTAAATTAAAGAGAAAATTATATAAACATATATATACAATACACTAATAATAATAATTTAGTTCAACTGTAGCTAAATGCAAAAGTTGGCATATATATATATATATATATATATATATATATATATATATATATATATAT